TAAAAACATCATTTTATTGCATCTTTTTAGCATTAGGGATCTATAGCGTTACGGTATAGTAAAGGACAAGTATATAAAAACATAACGCTACAAATTTGTAGCAATATTTTGAATATTTAAGTTATTTTTGTACAGAAAATATAATATATCTGTTTTTTCTAATCAGTACGTTCATATGAATTGTATTTTAACATTTTAATTTATCAGAGACCTAATGCATAGGCGTTGGAACCATGAGGGTCTAGGAAGGGGGGTAAGCCCCTCCTCCCCCCCCCCCCCCCCAATTACGGACCTAAATCACTCATAATTTTTTTTATTTCAATAGCGTATAGAAATACAAACTGAAACAACATCAAAGAAAATTTAAAATATGGATTATGTAAAGGGATTGGTTAACGATAAAATGACTACTAAAAGTATAAGGGATAATTTGAAACACTTAAGATTTGGTAGGTCTCTTTTTTAATTATTTATACAAACTGATACCTCAAGCACTATAGACTAAAAACCGTACTCTGAATTACATATGCAATGTTCAATGTATACCAACATGAAAATAAGGTACTGTGTTCGCATTTAAAACTTACGTACTTACAGATCCTTCTACTGCAGAAACAGCTGGAGTGGTTGTGAAGTAATTAAACGACGGCTTTATATCAGCCAACCAACTGAACACCTTTAGCCCAATCTATTGTCTTTTTTGGGAGAGGGGGTCAACTTGGCACTGGACTTTTGTGTTACATGTACACCAAATCGGGTACTCCTTCGAAGCCATACCACTACCCCTGTCACTGTTTTGTGTAGGGGGGGGGGGTGTTTGGAGAGAGGGTTTTAGCTGGTCAACAAGTTTGTGTTGTATAGATCCCTCATAAGGTTTGCAACAATGCCACGTGCCGGTACATGCTTACATAACAAATAAATTTTTAATCGTTTATTTAAGAATAAAAAGACAGACAGATAGCTGAATGAATGAATGAATAGATAGATAGATAGATAAATTTATAAAATCATTTTTTAATGCAGTGTATTAATTTTGTCGATAATACGTTAATTTGGCACACTAATGAAGACAGAATACTAGTATGTACAGTACATGCATTAAAATACACGTATAAAAGAAAAAAAATAATTTACTGATATTTCTAAAAGAAAAAAAAATAATTTACTGATATTACTCCTCTGAAGCAAAAGAATAAATGATAAATATACAATTTTAGAATAGAGAAACGATGTTTATTAATTTGCTTATCACTTAAATTAAAAGTACGATTAGTCATGTTGTTCTTCTGTAATAGATCAATCAATTAAAAATAATTTATATACGCGTTTAGTGCTATAAAATTATATAGATCAAGTATATATACATATTCCTTTTTAAAATTATATTGCGGCTTTTTTTCTAAGAGAAAAAAAATATCATATACATATATTTATATATTTTCTTTTTTATAATTAGCCCCAGCCTACGTAAAATATACGGGTACTGAAATTTTTATATTGCTAAAAAGATCAATGGGACGATTTTTTTCAGTTTATCCTCGACCTGTACTGCAGCGTAAATTAATTTTTCAACTGAAACCGAGACATAGCATACATGACTAAGTAAACACAATTACATACATGTACACGTAATACAATATTTGAACTTCCGTAATAAATAGAAATTAACTCATTGATGCTTAAATTTACATAAACAATAACTAAATTACATTCTTTAATAACGGAAAATTGTTATATACGTGCATTACATGTAAGTACTCCAAAAGTCATTTAAAATGAACTAAAGTATCCCAGCCAATCAGGGACCAAAGAGGACAGGCTCCGCCCACTTCATTTGCATACCGTTTCCCAAAGCGTACCGTCCACAAAACGAACAGTTCCGTGCAAGAAACGAAACGTACCGTCCACAAAGCGTACCGTTCCGTGCACAAAGCGAACCGTTCCGTTCTCAAAGCGTACCGTACCGTCCACAAAGCGAACCGTTCCGTGCAAGAAACGAAACGTACCGTCCTCAAAACGAACCGTACCGTGCACAAAGCGTACCGTTCCGTGCTCAAAGCGTACCGAACCGTACCGTTCCAGTGGTGTAGTAGCACGGTTTAGGGTCTGTAACTTGAAAACTATAAGTGGTAGAAGCATGGGGTTAATTGCATTGTGACCCTTGACCTTTGACCTTTAATATTTTTTCAAGGTCAAAGGTCAAGTTCATTCATTTTTTATTTTCATTTTTTCTATGCTTTAAGAGAGTTTTGGTGTCTTTTTCAAGGAATTTAATTTTTTGGCGTCAGAAATAAAACAAAGTTCAAAGAAGGTGGAAAGACCTCTTATTGTTCTGTGAACAATAAGTCTCCTAGTTTTATATAGATTCTGTGCCTAGAAGCAATAGACGACTTTCACATTCCTAAGGGTTATCTCCCGTTATCGGCGTAATGCTCATTTTTCCCTCTTTGTCCTTTGTAAGTTACCTGTGGATATTTTTAAAATTCAAACGTTCTGTGACAATTTCAATCTGTACATGTATTGCCAGAGTATGGGGCAGCATGAAAAACATAATGAGCATATTCATATAGATTTCATTTCTAAGATACTGACCCATAAAGTTGGTAAGGTTATAGAGGGAAAACAGCGTCTTACGCCGGTTGACCCCGGATTGACCCCGCAAAGGGGAATAACTTTTGTAAATGTGAAAGTCGTCTATTATATACAACACATAACATTTTTGTAAAAATGATCATAAACAAACAACACAGTTTATTCCATAACAATGTAATTCCAATGAAAATAATTGTATACTATTTTTACACATAGTTTCTTCCATATAATTACTTCAATTGGTCATGATTAAAACAAACGTGGTATTTAATAATTTACTGCATGGTTATGGTGGATCTTTTACATGTATTTGATTTTCTTCACTTTAAAACTGTAAAACTCAGCTACAAAGAGAATGTCACTGGTGTCTACACATAAACCCCATGGACGCTGTAGATCACAGTTATCAATGTAACGGAGGAACTGTCCATCCTGATCTAGGATGTGGATACAGTGGTTGATAAAGTCTGCTGTCAGGATCTGACTCTGGCTGTCTGTTGTGATGCTGTGTGGATCAAATGATCTCTTGTTAGTAGAGGGATGACCAGTGTATCTAAATCGGAGGTTTCCTGCCCCATTAACCACCACTACTGCTTTGGTTTGCCAATCAGCTACACAGATATCTAGGTTCCTGTTCTCACTGATGTATTTAAGGCCGCCATATGAATACAGAGGTTTACCTTCACTATCAAACTGAATGGTTTGTTTCTCAGTAAAGCCAAAGTAACGGACAACTTTTGATTGATTATCATCAGTGTTCATGGTAACCAGGAGGTCACCAGAGGACGTACTACAGACACCGTAAGGACTCCATCCCTGTAGTCTGATCACTTCCTGTATCTTTTTATTCTTCACTATGTTTACAGTTCTTTTATCAGGGTCAGTATAAACTAGATCTCCACTCCTTGTCACTGCTATGTCTTGTGGTGTGTTCCCTGACTTGGTTTTGATTGACTTCAGTAGTTTACCCTGGAGGTTGTAGAGTTTCATGATTTTGTCAGTTCCACTTGTCCAGATTTCTTCATCACTGAGACAGGTTACACTGTTAAGCGATAGTTTATACCCAATGTTTATGGTGGTGATGAGTTCTGGTTCATCAAGCAGTGGTTTGACTGGAGGACAGGATACAGCTTCTGGTGTCTTCATTGTGTAGCCATGTTCATCTGTTGTAATGGATAATGCTGACAGAGAACCAAACATTTGATGGAGCTGTTCTGTGTTGATCTGATGAGGACAGAAACTTGGTAATGAAACATTTACTTTAGGAGGCAAACTTCTGAATTCAGCATTCCTGGATTTGTATGCAGAGGTTAGGGAGACATCATTGGAGTCCAATATTTTCCTCAGATCATGTATGCTCTGTTTTACATCAGAAGAAATAAGTGTGATTACATTTTCCTGTTTATTTAGAACAGCCAGGTGTTTAGATTTCATCTCATCAATTTCAGATTTTTGTTTGTTTACAATGATGTTGATTTCTCTGTGCCAGTCTTCTCCTTGTTTGGTGACAGCTGTTGTCAGTTTCTCATAATGTTTCTCCAAGTTAAGTTTTTCAGAGTTTAAATCTAATGCAATTTCTTCATATATAGGAAAGATTGTTTTCTCTAGTTCTTTTAAGTCTTTTTCAAAATACGTTCTTTTAGAACTGAGTTTCTTCAGAGCATCAGATAAATCATGTCCTTTATGTTTCCCAGAGGAGATGCAGGTAGAACAGACAGGAATGTCACATTTCTCACAGTAAAGTTCACAGTGTTTCTGGGTGTGGTTTGGACATTTTGGGTAGTTAGGGGTAGTAGTTCTGTGTTTGTATGGTACAACCTTGTGTCTTTTAGAGGAATCAGAGAGATGTTTTCCAACACAGACTATACAGAGATTTACGTGACAAAGTTCACAATGACTCTGTAATGCAGATTTTTGACACAGGTCACAGAGGAGGATGTCTTGGGCGCAGTAACGGGGGTCCATTATTGAGGTCCGTCACATGATGAAGGGGATGCTGTAATATAGCATGTATAGTGTATTTATTTATATTACTTTCAATAAAAGGAGAGAAAAGACAGAAATTTTTAAATAAGCTCAAAATTGACATGAATCAGTAAGTGTTGATAGGATACATGATTATATATAGTGATAACACGCAGCTCTTTATTGCTTTACTGAATCAGCACATCAAGACATTTATAAATTATATGTCATTTTTATAAGATATATTCTGAAAACTTTTTAAATTTTTAATCATTTTTTAATTTTACACAAATTCAGAATCGTAAAATAATTATTGAGTCTCACCTGTTATTACAAGATGGCCGTCCTGACCACATAATAGAGACTAACAATCAACTTCCTGGTCTTGGTTCTAAATTTTGACCTACTTTCAGGTCACATGATTTAAATACCTGTACATGCACATGATTGAGGGTATTGACATCATTTAGCACATTCAAATTATATTTGGCCTAAAATTGATTTGAAAAATTTTATTTTCTATATACCTGAATGTATGATGTTGACAAAAAAGTAAATTTGGTAAAAAAAATATTTACGTGTTTAAAAATACATTAAAGGTTCTGAAGATAGGTTTATTTATATCTCTCCTGTAGAAATATTGATTTTACCTGATGTATCTAACCATGAACAACATTTTGATAAATAAATTAATATTACTGTTATTATTTGTCTTTAAAAAGAAATAGGAACTTTCTTTAATGCAAGAATTTAAATTGTAGACTGATTTGGTCTACTTGTTCATATACAAATTACAATTTTAATGACAAATATCCTTTAGTTAATTCTTAAAAAAAAATTCTTGACTTGAAATTTCAAAAAAATTTCTCTTAACTAATCAATTTTCACAGCTTATGATAATTTTAAAAAATTTTTGATGGGTCCATGAAGTAAAATTAGTACACATTCAAAAATGATTTTAATTTTACAATGTAATATTTGAATTGAATGTGTACTAATTTTACTTCAAGGACCCATCATATACAGCTGTACTCTTTTTAACATGTTTGTTTAAGGAGAAATATCATTTTTATATTAATTAAATAATTCATTAATTACACTACACAATTATAGGAGAGAGTATCCTGATCTGTAAGCCAAGTGAGAGAAGTAAAGCTGTGACCTTAGTACAGTCTGAACTGCCACCTGTCAGAAGTTGTCTGATCAAAAATCAAGGGGAACAACTCAGTTCTAGCATGAAAAGAGCCATACTAGAGGTTTGTAATGTAGCCTGATTCCATTTGTTATTGTGAATAAAAGCGATAGCAAAGAAATGGTTAGCTTAGATAGTTAAATTTCTTTTAATGTGTAACAATATTTTTATGTCGATTATTATTGGATTTAATGTAAATGTAATCATCATATGCTCATAAATTTTAAAAAAATATTTACAAAGTTAAAATAAAGTTCTGCAGCAGGATAAATTCTCTAAACAGTCGGCAAAGGAAATAATATGTACTAGTTGTTCGAGTGTAAAATAGAAATTCTTATAAAAATTTCATGTATGGTGGTGTCGGTGACAGGTTTGGCAGTCTTTGCCTCTTATTATGTATTATACATTATTTTGTGTGTTTTATTGATAGTTGTCAGTTATGTCATTATTTTTGTGTGTCGCTTTTTGTATGCCCCGCCATGATAGTAATAGTAGTCAGATGTGTTGGTGACAGATGTGGCAGCTTATGCCTCCTGTACTATGTTATATCTATATATACATTATACAGATAGTTGTCAGTGGTGTGGCGGTGTCTATGACAGATGTGGCGGCCTATGCCTCCTGTACTATGTTATATCTATATATACATTATACAGATAGTTGTCAGTGGTGTGGCGGTGTCTATGACAGATGTGGCGGCCTATGCCTCCTGTACTATGTTATATCTATATATACATTATACAGATAGTTGTCAGTGGTGTGGCAGTGTCTGTGACAGATGTGGCAGCCTATGCCTCCTGTACTATGTTATATCTATATATACATTATACAGATAGTTGTCAGTGGTGTGGCGGTGTCTATGACAGATGTGGCAGTCTATGCCCCCTGTACTATGTTATATCTATATATATACATTATACAGATAGTTGTCAGTGGTGTGACAGTGTCTGTGACTGATGTGGCAGCCTATGCCTTTTGTACTATGTTATATCTATATATACATTATACAGATAGTTGTCAGTGGTGTGGTGGTGTCTGTGACAGATGTGGCGGCCTATGCCTCCTGTACTATGTTATATCTATATATACATTATACAGATAGTTGTCAGTGGTGTGACAGTGTCTGTGACTGATGTGGCAGCCTATGCCTTTTGTACTATGTTATATCTATATATACATTATACAGATAGTTGTCAGTGGTGTGGTGGTGTCTGTGACAGATGTGGCGGCCTATGCCTCCTGTACTATGTTATATCTATATATACATTATACAGATAGTTGTCAGTGGTGTGACAGTGTCTGTGACTGATGTGGCAGCCTATGCCTTTTGTACTATGTTATATCTATATATACATTATACAGATAGTTGTCAGTGGTGTGGTGTTGTCTGTGACAGATGTGACAGCCTATGCCTCCTGTACTATGTTATATCTATATATACATTATACAGATAGTTGTCAGTGGTGTGGCGGTGTCTGTGACAGATGTGGCGGCCTATGCCTCCTGTACTATGTTATATCTATATATACATTATACAGATAGTTGTCAGTGGTGTGGCGGTGTCTGTGACAGATGTGGCAGCCTTTGCCTTTTGTACTATGTTATATCTATATATACATTATACAGATAGTTGTCAGTGGTGTGGCGGTGTCTGTGACTGATGTGGCAGCCTATGCCTCCTGTACTATGTTATATCTATATATACATTATACAGATAGTTGTCAGTGGTGTGGCGGTGTCTGTGACTGATGTGGCAGCCTATGCCTTTTGTACTATGTTATATCTATATATACATTATACAGATAGTTGTCAGTGGTGTGGTGGTGTCTGTGACAGATGTGGCGGCCTATGCCTCCTGTACTATGTTATACAGACCCTGAGACGTGCTACTACCCCACACGCTCGCTGCACGAACGGTACACGAACGCTACACGGTTTGCACGAAACGCTGCACGGTTTACACGAAAAGCTACACGGTTTACACGAAACGCTACACGGTTTACACGAAAGGCTGCACGAAACGCTTTGTACACGTTTCTCACACGCTTTGTGCACGATTCTCGCACGGTTTGGCCTCGGTTTGGATTTTTCTACTCGGAATATCTCGGGCATTTTTACCGCTTTATCATTAATTCAATGAAAATCGCTAAAAAACCACAATAAGCAGCTGTTTAAATTAAATTTAGTACACTTGTATTATAAAAGCCGATAGAAATATTCAATACTCTGACAGTTGTATCAATTGATAGATAATTGTCAGTTCAATTTTATATATTTATTTATCCAACTGTTTAAAAACGAAATGCCGATATCGTAAATGACTGTTTAATAAAATACAATTTTTATATACAGGTATTAGTCATTCATTTCAATGTAAAATTTTTACGAGTATAATTTGATAAATTGATTTAATAAATTGAACAAAAATTCGATTTCTCACCGCAAGAATATAAACTCATTGATTTTTAATGAATTTGATTTGCGTGTTTGATTTCCGTAGGCGGATTTTTATTATTTTTTTTTCTTTTGATTTTAAATTATCAATTAAATTTGCCTATATACTCTACTAACTATTATTGAAAGATTTTCAAAGATTTTTTTTACGCAAGCATTATCAATAGGAGGGAAACCGGTAACGGGGGGGTGGTAATGTGATCTATTAATCTATTCTATTCTCTTTCTCTTTTTACGTGAATCTTATCAAATTACATCAGTATACCATTCATACTGTAAAATACTTCAATTCAATACAGGACTAAAAGTATGTTTGTATGTGTACATTTATTAATAGTCGCAGCATTTGACCATACATTGTACATACAATATAGATCGATCTTTATACCGGCATTCAGGTATATTACAAGAAAACTGAAATATCTTAGATGAAATAAAAAGTACGTGATTTATTAAACAAATAATTCACAATTATTCATGATTTACTCCTAAGCTTTTCTTACATGATATTCATATAAAGACTACCATATCAGTTCTGTTTATTTTACTGTTTACGGCTAGAAATTTGGATTTACAAATAAAAGATGTAATCCGCTGATTTATTTGATATTCATATAAAGACTACCATATCAGTTCTGTTTATTTTACTGTTTACGGCTAGAAATTTGGTTTACAAATAAAAGATGAAATCCGCTGATTTATAAGTTGTATCCATCAAATACTTATAGAACCATTTTATTTTTTAAAAAATCTAGTCTTAATTTCCAGGTGTCATTAAGCCGCGAACTCAACATGTAAATATACCAAAACAGGTTTTCACTTGCAATGCAATCGGAGCCCGTGATCGCTGTTGTAAATGACCTTGATCACAGTTGAAAGGCGGAAAGAAGATTCCAATTCATTTATAAGGGGTGTATCTGCGCATACATTTAACAACGAATTTGAACAAGAATAGAAAATAAAGGATTTAATTAAAGTAACATTAGATTGAAAGCTACAACAAAAAATGAAAGCCGGAACTGTCTAGTTATTTAATTTAACACCCCCCTTCATTTATAAAGATATGGTCGTCAGTGCACGTGAATTAGAATTATAAAATCCATTTTTTTACCATAATGAGCAACAAGTTTTATGTATTAAAAGATATTGAATGACACATCGTTTCAAATGTAAAGACAAGAGCGGAGTCCTGATATATTTTTGATTTAAATTTAAAAAAAAGAATAATACCGGTATTTCTTTCTTTCTTTGAGAAAAAATGTTCGCGTTGATACATGTAGTATATTGAATACAATGCCCTTAAAATTGTTGTACATAGCTGATTTATTTGAACACATTTTCTATAGAAGGAACAGAAATCAAAGAAATATAAATCATACATTACCGTTTAATTTAATTTTTTTGTTCCATTTTTTTTGTTTTTACTCCTATAATGTCACAAACATAACTAATTCAATAATAAAATGCTAATAATAGAATTTTACATCCTGACCCATCGATAGCCATATTTAAAATGAATTGACTTCCGAATGAATCTTACACGATTCTTGCACGAAAGTCGCACGTTTCTCACACGGTTCTTACACGGAAGTCGCACGTTTTTCACACGCTTTTCGCACGCTCGCTACACGGTTTGCACGAAACGCTTTGGAGCTTACACGAAACGCTGCACGGTTTACACGAAACGCTACACGGTTTGCACGAAACGCTGCACGGTTTACACGAAACGCTACACGGTTTGCACGAAACGGAAAGCGCACGAAAGCCACACGCTTTTTTGGGGTAGTAGCACGTCTCAGGGTCTGTATCTATATATACATTATACAGATAGTTGTCAGTGGTGTGGCGGTGTCTGTGACAGATGTGGCGGCCTATGCCTTCTGTACTATGTTATATCTATATATACATTATACAGATAGTTGTCAGTGGTGTGGCGGTGTCTGTGACTGATGTGGCAGCCTATGCCTCCTGTACTATGTTATATCTATATATACATTATACAGATAGTTGTCAGTGGTGTGGCGGTGTCTGTGACAGATGTGGCGGCCTATGCCTCCTGTACTATGTTATATCTATATATACATTATACAGGTAGTTGTCAGTGGTGTGGCGGTGTATGTTACAGATGTGGCGGCCTATGCCTCCTGTACTATGTTATATCTATATATACATTATACAGATAGTTGTCAGTGGTGTGGCGGTGTCTGTGACAGATGTGGCAGCCTATGCCTCCTGTACTATGTTATATCTATATATACATTATACAGATAGTTGTCAGTGGTGTGGCGGTGTCTGTGACAGATGTGGCGGCCTATGCCTCCTGTACTATGTTATATCTATATATACATTATACAGATAGTTGTCAGTGGTGTGGCGGTGTCTGTGACAGATGTGGCAGCCTATGCCTCCTGTACTATGTTATATCTATATATACATTATACAGATACTTGTCAGAGGTGTGGCGGTGTCTGTGACAGATGTGGCGGCCTATGCCTTCTGTACTATGTTATATCTATATATACATTATACAGATAGTTGTCAGTGGTGTGGCGGTGTCTGTGACTGATGTGGCGGCCTATGCCTCCTGTACTATGTTATATCTATATATACATTATACAGATAGTTGTCAGTGGTGTGGCGGTGTCTGTGACAGATGTGGCGGCCTATGCCTCCTGTACTATGTTATATCTATATATACATTATACAGATAGTTGTCAGTGGTGTGGCGGTGTCTGTGACAGATGTGGCAGCCTATGACTCCTGTACTATGTTAGCGGCGTCCCTGGAGACCAGCTCTGACCAGACACAGGACATGATTGATGCCTGTATACAGTTCCTTCAGGACAACGAGTTTGTGTCTCTTCAGCAATCTCAAACAGAAGGTTAGTAAAGCAAAGTCATTCTTCTCAACAGATACCAAAATCTTGCTCCTTAGATGGTTGCATGTAGTGCTTTAAAATGTTTTTTAATATTATATTACCGGTAATCATTTCTATGGTAGTAGGTAGCGTATGAAAAAAAACTGTTTTTATACCCCCTCTCCGAAGGAGAGGGGGGTATACTGTTTAACCCTTGTGTGTCTGTCTGTCTATCTGTCTGTTTGTCCGTAACAAATTTTCTTGGCATTTTTCTCAGTAACTACTAATCATAGATTCTTGAAATTTTAACATAATCTTTTCTGAGGCATGCCATATGGTGGGATACATTTTTGATAAAATCTGATGTCAACTTCCTGTTTGTCTGTGCGTCTGTTGGTTTCATACATAACAAATTTTCATCACAGTTTTCTCAGCAACTACTCATCGTAGATGCTTGAAATTTTAACACAATCTTCTCTGAGGCATGTCGTATGGTGGGATACATTTTTGATAAAATCTGATGTCAACTGCCTGTTTGTCTGTGCATCTGTCCGTTTCATACATAACAATTTTTTGTTGCAGTTTTCTCATTAACTATTCATCGCAGATGCTTGAAATTTTATTACACTCTTTGTTGAGGCATGCCATATGATGGGATTATGTTTGATATGAATCTGATGTCAAATTCATATTTTATCTGTGCATCTGCCTATAATTGAACTTGTGTATATTAACATGATAGTGCTTATTTACTTCAGAGTGGGGGTATTACTAGTGAGCATTGGCCCACAGATTTCTTGCTATGTGTCATTTTTCTACCCAAAGTACCCGTCAATGTACAATGTTCACCTTGCTCCATAGGATGGCTAGATATATTGCATTCCTTGGGTACATGAAATCACCTCTGACAAATTGTTTATTATAGATGGTATGACAACAGAGGACCGGTTTCTTAACACAGCTCGGTGCAGCTGTACTAGCTTCCAGTCTGTCTCCAGATGAGGGTCTGACTGTTTTTGCTGAACTACAGAGAGCTCGACAGTGTTTTGTTCTGGAGAATGAGTTACACATAGTCTTTCTAGTGAGTAATGTGTTAGACAGTGTTTTGTTCTGGAGAATGAGTTACACATTGTCTATCTAGTGAGTAATGTGTTAGACAGTGTTTTGTTCTGGAGAATGAGTTACACATAGTCTATCTAGTGAGTAACGTGTTAGACAGTGTTTTGTTCTGGAGAATGAGCTACACATTGTCTATCTAGTGAGTAATGTGTTAGACAGTGTTTTGTTCTAGAGAATGAGCTACACATTGTCTATCTAGTGAGTAATGTGTTACACAGTGTTTTGTTCTAGAGAATGAACTACACATAGTCTATCTAGTGAGTGTTGTGTTAGACAGTGTTTTGTTCTAGAGAATGAACTACACATAGTCTATCTAGTGAGTAATGTGTTAGACAGTGTTTTGTTCTAGAGAATGAACTACACATTGTCTATCTAGTGAGTAATGTGTTAGACAGTGTTTTGTTCTGGAGAATGAGCTACACATTGTCTATCTAGTGAGTAATGTGTTAGACAGTGTTTTGTTCTGGAGAATGAGCTACACATAGTCTATCTAGTGAGTAATGTGTTAGACAGTGATTTGTTCTGGAGAATGAGCTACACATAGTCTATCTAGTGAGTAATGTGTTAGACAGTGTTTTGTTCTGGAGAATGAACTACACATAGTCTATCTAGTGAGTAATATGCTAGACAGTGTTTTGTTCTAGAGAATGAGCTACATATTGTATATCTTGTGAGTGATATGATGGATAGGATTTTGGTCTTGTCATAGGAATTTTTTTTTGAATGGACCAGATTTTGATCCAAATTACATATGACTCATTCTTGTTAGTCACTTTTTAGAAGGCCATCAATATATTAAATTACAATTATTATGAAAGTGTGACAAAAGGAATTATATTTTAAAATCACCCGTTATCTAACTTCATTATTCTAATGTTGTAGGTGACCCCTATCTACTCCCTAGACTTGGGGGCTAACATGGACTGGTACAAGTTCTACTGCCTGTGGGACAAACTTTCCCCGGACATGAAGAGAGTGGCTCAGCTGGTGGGGGTCAGTGAGGCATTCCTCACCAGGGCCATCCAGGGGAGGATACCAACTAAAACAGAGAACCAGCTAAGGAGTCTGGCCATACACAAGAGGTCAGTTTGTAATCTGAAAATCTCTGTTTCTTTTATTTCTCCCATCTCTAATGTTACATTTACATGTATATCATTTTCTGATATGGGGCTTAGTAAAAATAAAACTTCATGTCAAAAGGCTTCCCATAGATGATGGTTTAGTGCATGTAGCAATGACATGTTGAAAGGAAACTAAATACTGGTAGAGGTACCAAATGTATTCTGTGTGCATGTATTTAGAAATTTAGCATGATATTGTCTGTCTGTACTACATGTAGGTTCTACACGTGCCTGATTCTGAGTGACCTTGTACAAGAAGTCCCCCTTGGGGAGGTGTGTCACCGCTACAGCTGTAATAAAGGTCAGCTCCAGTCCCTACAGCAGACAGCCGCCACTTTTGCAGGTAGGGAGTCTTACAAGTTATAATATGGTTTTCTTTTTCACCTGAGAATGAAAATGAATCCGATATAAAACTTGTAACTGAGTTTTTTCTTTATTTGAATATTGTTTCTGCTCTAGGTATGGTGACGGTGTTTTGTGGCAGGCTGGGTTGGTATAATATGGAGTTGATTCTTGGTCAGTTCCAGCATCGTTTGACCTTTGGAGTCCAGAGAGAGCTGTGTGACCTTGTGAGACTGACCTTGCTGAATGGACAGCGGGCCCGAGTCCTGTACGATGGGGGCTTCCACACTGTGGCAGCTCTAGCTAACGCCAGTGTCACTGATGTAGAACTAATTTTCAAGAAATCTTCACCATTTCAAAGGTGGACAATGAAATAAATATCAATAATCATGTAAATATATTGGTCATACTCTCAATAAGCTGAACGAATTGAAAGGATTAAGAAAACTGCTACGGTACTGTAATTACAGTATATCTGGAAATTTTTGCTGTAGATAAATTTTAAGCAAATTTGCGAGTTCATTGCATTTGCAAAAATATTTTTCTTAAAAATAAATCACCAATAAAAAAATGTATTAAATGAAGCTATGGTCATTCGCAAAATTTTAAAACGTAAAAACAGCATTTTGACCAAAATTTGCAATATAAAATCAACATGTAAATTCCTAGATTTACGGTATAATTTACAGCTCCTGGGGAAAGGATTAAGTGATTTAACTTTGATTTTCATTTGCAGCTCTAAGAGACAGGACAATGAGACAGAGTGGGAGGCGACAAAGAGACAGGAGAGTCGCTGTATCTGGTTAACGGGGCGTAAAGGTGCAACAGAGCGTGAAGCCGCAGAGGCCATCATAGAGGAGGCCAAGTCAGTCATCCAACAGGAGCTGGGCGGACTGGGAATCCAGTGGAAAAATCCAGAATCCAGGGACATCCAGAGTGTGGGGTCAAACCTGGATCAGAGCAAAATGGAGTTTCAAGATGACAAGAGGGTTCAGGGTTTAAACCGAAGTCATGGTGGTATGACCTTGGTAAAGCCAAAGGGAAGGAGGTCAGTGGGGAAGAGAAAATCAGTGGGAAAGAAAAGTCCAGGACTCTCCAAGTCTGGGATTTATAATGGAGATGATTCCAGAGTAATAGAGAAGTCTGTTGTAGTCAGTCCACCTGGCATCAGAGTACAACAGAACACACTGGGACACAAGAACAAAACAACCACATCTGATAGTATGGGAAGCATGAATGATGATTTGAAAGTGGGGAAAGAAGATTGTACTAAATTGATGACAAAACTTACAACCACAGCAGAAGTTCACCATGTTCCACCAAATCCTGTGGGAAAAAACTTTTTTGTTCCTCAAATACACCATTCTGAGTCTTGTGAAGAAACAAATAAAGAGATGCTACTGGATAAAGTTGAGAAACAACGAAACTCCAAACAAATAAAGTCAACTTCTGCCAAGACATCTGAAATTTCTTCAGGCACAATGGAAGACATATCAGGAAATGTTCACCCACTAGCTTTCCCAAAGTGTACAAGTGCCTCTAGTTCAAATGCACCCATTTCTCCATGTTTAGAAACTTATTCTTCAGTTGCTTCTTCTACTAATGCCATCAAAATCCCAGCATTGTCATCTGATTTAATCAAGACATTAGACAATATAAATCATGGAAAAGACAAAAGAGGAAATTTTGATGGGAAAGTTTCTTCATTGGGCATTCATGAACCTAACTGTCTGAAGAATCCTGATGATACAGCAAAGAATCCTGATGATACAGCAAAGACAAACAAACTCCAGCCATCATACAAGGATCAGATATAAAAACTCCTCTTGTACAGAAAAATCAAATTAATCACTCGTCTATGGAAAATTTGAAAATTCATTCAAGTTCTAAAGAAGTGGAGGGAATGAATTTGAACAAAAATCAAAAAGAAATCAAAGAGAAAGCTTTTGATGATTTGTTTTGTTCAGGGGATTTTACAGATAGTTTTGTTTTTGAATCTCAGATGGATGTAGGTCAAGTAGATTTCCCAGCATTGGCTTCTGTGGCTTCAAAGGAACCAGTGCCCAGTACAAATAATAAAAAATCTGGGTCAGATTCAGCAAAAGCAGATGTTGGTTCCATTAATGAAGAAGGAAGACTGTCTTCTGAAAAGAAAAGTTTGAATAAATGTATGCAAGGAAAAGATTTGTCTGAGGTGAGAATTTGTGCTCAACCATCCAGCCGTTTTACAGACGAACCAAATAATAAGGTCAGTTACATAAAAGACAAACAAGTAAACTGTGTGGTACCTGTGTCAAGTGAAAGTGCAGATGGTAGTAAAAGAGAGAAAAATGGCAAGTGTGAAAATAGAATTGAAGATAACGCTATTAATGAATTGAATGATAAGTGTGATAAAGATTTGAATCTAAGCAGTAGTCTGCTGTTGTCACATGACATATCATGTGACCTGTTACCAGCCAGTAACTTTGAGAGGTGTATGATATCAGATGACGAATCAGATGTCAGTAAAAATGAGTCCTACAGGGACCTCCGAATTCCTTACCTTAGTGGACAGGAGGCGTGTTTCCAGGGCAGTGATAAAAAAGAAAAAGGCTCAACTCAGGTAGGCTACAGCCAGCTGTCACAGGACTTGATGCTGGCACTGGAACTCAGTGATACATTCAATGAGGACAGTGATGGAACACAAACTAAAATGTCCTCAGAAACAGGGATTCTGTCAAAACGAAGTGAAACAAATAATTACTTAAAAAATTGTGAAGTGAAAACACCTCAACAAAAAACAGGAGAAAAAGAGACAAGTGATAGGGCAGAAGAAATGAGTGACTCTTTAACTCTTTCCATGGTTAATGAAGTATTAGAAATAAGTGATATGGGCAGTGCAATAAAAAATCAAATGTAAAATTGAGTGATTCTAAATATACTAAGTTAAAAACAAGAGGGGCATCACAAGTGAAAGACAAGAAGCTGAGTCCTGGGACACTAGCATTCCTGGATGATCTTCACACCAGTATAGACACCGACAGTGATAAATTAGTGGGAAAATCACCTTCTCCAAAAAAGGTCTCTTCTCAGAAAACTTAACATAATAAGAATGTAAACAGCCAAGGAAAAACTAATGGAAGGAAATGTAAAAGGAAAAGCTTAGAGAAGGCTGAAGGAGGTAAAGTTAAAAAGCCTAAAGAAGATAAAACCAGAACTAATGAGTGTCTGTCTCCTACCCCTCCAAGACCAGGTCTAAACTCCCCAAGGACAATTGGAAAGACCACTCCCAAAAGTCTGAGGTCGAAAGATCAAAATGCAAGCACTGGGAGGGTCAGAAAATGTATTGACGTCACTGGAGCTTCGAAGAAAGATAAAAATATGGTGGTGGATAAGTGTTCCAAAGACAAAGGGGAAATGCAGATTATGCACAGTGAAAATAGGGTGGAAAATCCACATGAAGATGGTGAAGTGCCATATGAAGAGAGGGGGCCAATAGTGGACCCTATTGAGACAGGCCTCCCTCCCTCTCAGGGGTCCTTCACTATTATAGATGTGTGTGCTGATGGTAGGTTGTTTGAGACGTTCCTTGCTGAGTGGAGGACACAGCCTGTGTTCTCTTTATCTGTGGCCTGTAGGACCAAGCCTTCCTCCTCTGTCTCCTCTTCTGCTGGAGGAGGACAAATAGGAGCCAAGTTTTCTAAAGGAGGGGCCACAGATAAAAGAGGTATGGGATTCAATGTTGGCAATTTTCTCTCAAAGTGATTTAAGATTTTTGTTGAAATCTTGTTGCTTACAGATCTGGGTTTTTTTTTGTCTGTTTTGCTTCAAATGGGATCTTTCTTTATGCTGTATGAAACATTAACTTAATTGTGTTTACTTATTAAATTCCACACATCCATACATGTACAATGTACCTCTACACTAAAATATACATACATGTACAGTGTTCATGTTACAGACAAGGAGCCTGGAGTGGTCTCCCTTGGATTACCTGTCACAGGTACTAACCTGTTAATAACAGGTGTGTCAATCAGCTGGGAAGACAGAGATGCTTATTTCATTTCCTTGACCACAGGGAATGCAGAGGGTATGTGAGTCTTTTGTCTTCATTGATATGAACGATAAAAAGAAATTTAAAATCACTAGTTCTGATTAAAGTTCCTAGAGAAAAAAGTGTAATACTTATATATTTTTAGAACAGAATGGTTTCTGGTGTCATAAACCATTACTTGAACTAACATTCAGAAAATAATTTTCAAACTCTAAATTTTAAAACATTTTTCAATTAGGACGTACATGTAGTTAATAGAATATCAATCACCTGCCGATACATAGATGTATATATATACAGGTTATAGATTATTATATTTTCTGCAGATGAAGATGACCTTGACCTCTCACCCCCTGACCTTGATAAATCTCTCTCAGTGTTGGCTCGTCTGGCAGCCATTAAACAGTCACTAGAAGATCGAGACAACTACACAGTGATAGCAATGGATGCCAAGTCCTGCTATGGGGCCCTAGAGAGGGGCTGTGGTATAAGTTGCCAGGGAAAGTTTCAGGACCCGAAGGTAGCCAGCTGGATAATGGACCCAGGGGCCAATGAGAAGAATCTTCACCGCATGGTCCATGATTACCTCCCTTTAGAAGCATTTCTCCTAGAAGGTTAATTATAGATTACTTTAGTTAAAATCTTACCAACAGTCTTTCAAATTGATAGAACTACTTACAAAGCTAATCTAAGAGTGTTTGTAAAGTACATAACAGACAGCTGTTTTTTTATCCTGTAGGTATTGGTGGTGGGGTGGGCTATGGGAGTCTAGGAATGTCACCTGAGAACCCTGGGACTGGTCGACTGCGGGCCTGTACCGAGGCTGTCCTACTGACCCACTTAATCCAGTACCTCTCTCTCTGTCTGACCAAAGAGAACCTAATGTCAGCCTACCACGACATCGAGATGCCAGCTGTCATCACACTGTCTCGCATGGAAATGAACGGATTTGGTGAGGACCATAAAGAGTCTTCATTAAGTATAGGAACTGATTCTGTACACATTCAGGAAAACAAGCATCTGACTGATGATTATCTGTTATTGATTAAATAGGTCATTAATCTTGTTCATGTAGTTGCTCAGCTGCTTTCTTAAATCTTTTCTGAGACTAATCATTGACAATCATTTTCTTCAAAGTAAATAGGGAAAATAATAAAATTATTTTTTTAATTAATCAATTCTACAGTAAAATAAAAAAATTCCAAATACAGGTTTTAATGATGAGGAGTGTGAGAGACAGAAGACAGTGATGATAGAACGACTCGCTGAACTTGAGAATGAGGCGTACCAGCTAGTGGGGCACCAGTTTTCTCTGCCTTCAACTGAAGATCTGTCACAGGTTAGTAACGAAATGTAACCTTTCCCTAAATGTCAATCCTGATCAGGGTCATCTAAAGTTCAGTTAAAAAAGTCTGACACATTTCTTATCTGAGTAAAAATATCTTATGAATTACTTTGACAGCTTCTATTTATAGAACTATATCTCTGACAGGTACTACATGTATTTATAGAACTACAGCAAAACTTGGTTATAGCAAAGTCGCTGGGACTTATTAAATTAATTTGCTCTATCCGTAATTCGTTATTACTGTATAAGAAATTCATTAAATATATATAGCTGGGGTTCCAAGATGAGATTGCTATATCTTTGAATTCTCAATATCCGTGTTCGCACTAAGTGAGCTTGACCTTTTGCGAAAGTGGGTACTGAGTACCCACTTTGGGTGGGCACTCAGTACCCACTTTTTAGCTCACCTGAGCCGAAGGCTCAAGTGAGCTTTTCTGATCACATTTTGTCCGTCGTCCGTCCGTCCGTCGTCCGTGTCTGTGTCTGTTCTTACGAGAGGTACATTGTGGGGTAAAATTAACGTATTTTCCAGCAGTGTGGGGTTTTTTTGGGTACTGTGGGGTTAACCCCATAATGAAGAGGTCTAATTACGTTCAAAATTACTCTATGAGGTCGAAAAACCTAAAATTAGATTTAACCTCACAAAGACTTTGTCCAAATTTTGGACATGTCCTTAGCCCAAAACGCTCAGACATTCAGAAATCTGCTGTTTAGAGGAGTTCGGTAATTGAATCGAGGAGTTCCGAATACCTGAGCATGCGCATATATTTAAAACTAACTGCGCATGCGCAGATTACGGAAGTAGCTGTGTTTGGACACTTTGTAGTAGCAGTGAGGAAATTCGGAAACACAAAAAGCAAATGCAGTAAGTCTTACTATTTTGTTGCACCACATTGAAAAAAAGCTTTGTAAATTGTTTGACATGCTTCATACGTACATTATGCAGTTGTAGAATTTATTTAAAGTCAAGGAAAGGACATCTGTAGTCCACATAAACACATACCTATTGAAAACGGGCTTTTGTGAAAAAAATTATAATGAATGCACTGATAGTT